TTAGGGTACCCTGCTCGCATCCAAAGAACCCAGGCCTCTAGAGAGAAGTTTGCCATAGATGCCTCCAGCTCGTCCATGAAGAGCTGCTCGCCTATGTCCTCCTCGATCGTCGTTGTTTGCATCCAACCAAACTCGTTGAACAGGTTCCACTTGCCCAAGAGGGGATCGACTGATTTGTCGATGGCCACGAGTGCAGCCAACTCCGCCCGCTCCAGGTGATCCTGGATCTCCTTGCTCTTCTTGGACCTCCACTGCTCCGTGGCTGTAGCACGTTTGTGCAGTAGGTCCTCGCCCAATTCGCCGTTGTCCAACTGTTGCCGAAGCTTCTGGATCATGTTCTCGGCTTGGTTGTGGACTGCCTCTGCCACGGCTGCGGTTTTGGCCTTCAGAGCCTCATACTCAGAAACCTTTGTCCAAGCTCCGTTGACGAGTAGCATTAAGTACTTTAGGCCATCCGAGTCCATCAGCAAGTCGGTCCTGATGTCATCCTCCATCACAACACCATTCTGCGGATGCCGAGGCAGGGCGTCCTTGATCCAGGACATCATCGGCGAAGCGTCTTGGAAGCGAATAGCTTCTTCAAGAGGGGGCCACTGCTTGTCCTGGCACGGCATGCCATAGTAGCCCTCGAAGATCAACCTCCGGACACCTGTCGAGGGGTCCTCCTCCTCTCGCGGAAAGTCCCCCAGCACCAGAGTGCTTGTTGAGCGAGCCACCGTGGTGAGGCTGTCCGGCCTGCGGATGGGCTGCACCCCGGCCGGCGAAGCTTGGCTTTGGCCTGCATACATTAACAAATTTAGGCTTTAGGGTTTGGGGATTGGGTTTTTGGGTAGGGTTTGGGGATTGGGTTTTGGGCAGCCAATATCCTAGAACCATCGTACCATAAGCTACGAAAGAATTCTATGCTAGATGTAGCTGAAATGCAAGCAAACAGCACCAATAGGATCCGGAATTTAGAGTAGATAGTTAAACAACATAGAGAAGCCCAGAGAACATGTGTGGGAATAAGGTTTAGGGTATGTTGACAGTTTAGGTATATATTATTAGGGTTTATTCAAACTATCTAGTTGTCTAATCTAAGCTACTGTACTTGGCAGACACCCAATGCATGATCATGAGACAGCCTGGCAGTTGATCAGGCTTCGAAGCAGAGCTTTCCGGCACCTCCAGCAGGGATTCTGAAATGGGTAGAAACACACCAAAAATCTACATATGGATCTTAGCCCAGTAATTATATTAATGGCCTCGGCGGCATCTTCAAAGAGTGCCCTCCGGGCTTTCTTGTAGTCCGGGCTCTTGACGGGCGTGTAGCCTGGCTTGAAAGGTGTCCCAACTTTGGCAGGGGTTGGCGTAGAACCCGACATGTGCACATCCTTGGCTGGGCTCGGCTTTGGGGAGGCCTTTGGCACAGGTGGGCTCGCCATGGTAACATCATCAGCTGTTGGCTGGCTCTTCACTGCTTGCTTCGTGGGTGTGTTGGGACATTGCTTTATCGGCACCGGCACTTTCGGGAAGCCAGCTTGTCCCGAGGCTGGCGGACGGCCCATGACTGCCAGACTGCTGGTTCTGCTGCCTTCGGCTGGAAGAGGCTTGGCAGCACTCTTCGGCATCTGTACCGGTCCGGGTTGCTTCGGCGTCTGTACCGGTCCGGGTTGCTTCGGTGTCTCTACCGGTCCGGGCTGCACGGGTTGGGCTTGGCCTTTCGAAGTCACGGGCTTCGAGGTTGGAAGGTCTCGCTTCGTCGGCACCGGGGAAGCACCTTTGGTGGGCTGGGTTTAAGGGTTTAGGGATTACGTGCGGCGGGCTTCGGGGTTTAGGGGTGCAGGGTTTAAATATAATATTGTTGCTACTATTAAGTTAAAGCCCAGATGCCTTTCATGGCTGTCGCCTTCACATCGAATTCCAGGGGAGCGGTAAGGCTTGGAGGCGGAGATGTCGTAGGTTTCTTAGCAGCTGGCGCACCGGCCATGAATGCCGTTTTGCCGCTCATGCGTCTCGTTGGTTTTGCTGCAGCTGCTTGTGTCCCACCGGTGTCTCCGGATCCTGCGTGCAGTGGCTGTCTTATATATTACAAGTGTGATTACAATACACATATAGTTGTTCGATCATATAAACATCCCAGCCAGCCTGCAGGTGGCATGCCTGCAGCTTTCAAAGCCTCTGCCACCTCATCTGCGATCTTCTTGTGCTTGCCCTGTCCGATAGGTTCGTAGGGATCTCTAGATACCTCTAGAACTCTAGATTAGTTCAGACTTTGGACACGGGCTTGTGGTTATATGGTGGTGCTAGCTTGGTTCGGCTCAATATTGGTAGGGGTGCACGTAGAAGTCGAAGGCATGGGGTTCAGATAATTTGTGAACACGAGGATGTGGCTTCAAAGCCCTGGCCTGTTCCTGATTACTATTCATAACATATACATGTACACCCCTGTATAGTGGACCTGAAGAAGCCGTTCTTCTGGGCTACCGGAAATATTTACAATATCTGGGCTAGCCTTGCGTGTAGGGTTCAGAGATCCTACTATAAACTTAAGTGCATTTAATATAAATGCAATTAAGTTTATAGTAGGATCTCTGAAATTTAGGATTTGGGGATCTGAGTCTTAATGCATTATAGGGGGCTTAGGCCGGGCTTTAAGGTGCCTGTTGCGGCTGCTTGGGTGCAGCCTGCGTCGGAGTGGCCCCCGTGGAAGCCATGGCACGAACTAACGGCGACTAACGGTTACTAACGGCCCAAAGTGTTCCAGAGACCCCTTTGAACGCCAAATAACGCTTCCTAACGGCCCTGCCCGAACCTCAACTCACGGCCCCTAACGGCTCCTAACGGCCAAAAGTGGTCCAGGGAACCCTTTGAACGCCAAATAACGCTACCTAACTGCCGTGATTTTGCACACCAACACAACTCACGGCCCCTAACGGTCCCTAACGGCCAGAAGTGCTCCAGAGAGCCCTTTGAACGCCAAATAACGCTCTCTAACGCCTTTGGTGGTTTTCTGCAAGTGAACCCTGTGTTTGCAGCAGGGACTGCTCACAATTTGAGCAAATCAAGGCCTCGCGTCACATGCTTAACGTACAGCAGGCAGCCCTGACATGTGCGTGAGGCCGATCATGTGCAGGGTCGAGCTACATGCAAACCCCAAATTAAATATATCAAGCTAATTAAAAAGGATTCCAAAGTACCTTTGCATGGTATCGAATAGGGAATACTCTTCCAAACCACAAAAGCAAACCCTGCAATACTTAGGACCCTGAGGGAATTATGCATGTACACTTGTACATGCATAATTCCCTCAGGAATAGCATGTCGTCGGATTATCTCGATCATCCACATCCACGGCTTGGGTCTAGACCTGCACAATAGCCACATGAACTGTTTTCTCCGGCCGGTGCCAGTGATACATGCCGATGTGACACATGCATCTACTGCTCTAGATTCTCTAGATCTCCAGGGCAAGCCAAGCACCAGCTAGATAATTTTAGCTACATCAATGTACTGTGTAGACTGCATGCAGAGGACGAATGCCCCAAAGCTTGCCAACGGTTCAGCCAACCTGTATTCTGGAAGAGGTTTTGTGGTTTGGTTCGGCCGATACCTCGATCCACTGTGGCTGGGTGGACATATACATGTGTAGTTAAATTTCACTATAATTACATGTGTCTCTCAGCATGATCACTTCGAGGGCCATAGCGACCAGTACATATACTCCAAATGTGTTAACCGACTGAATGGGCCCTTGAAGCCGATCACAATCCAGCCGCCTTTGCAAACATGAGGCGTCGATTGCATCGACAGCCATGCACCTCAATTGCACGTTGTGTGGCTTGGGGATTAGGGCATGGGGTTCTGGGTCTGGGGCTTATAAAAGTAGGGCATTCGGTTTAGGGTTCTGGGTTTGGGGCTTTTCGGTTTCCATTAAATACACATAGTTTCGCAGAGAAATAATCATTATGTGTGTATATATATATATACATATATGTATCTCATATCAATACAAATATATATATATATATATATATATATATTTATATGTATGTCTATATATATATATACATATTAATATATATATATATATATATATATGTGTATATATATATGTATATATATATATATAGAGAGAGAGCAATTCAGACGTACAAATATAGTATTTGCGGCAAAATACTCCAAACAGAGAATCTATGATGAGGCCGATCTAGATCAGTCAAGACTCGACTGGCCCGGTTGGAGTCAGCAATGAATAGCCAGGTTGTCCATTCTAGATACCCAGCAGCCTCGGATCGAAGTTTGATTGGCCCTATATAGGTATATTGACCCAACTATATAGGTATATAGACCCAACTTCTTATGATCTACTTGTGGGGGGTGGGGGGGGCTCTTTCGAGGTTTTCTTTTTGAAGGTTTGAACTTTTCAACTATGCACGAGATTCCATCTCCATTAACGTAACCTATATATATATATATATCTATGTATATACATATATAGGTACGGTTGGGTAGTTAATTTTGACGACTACAATATAGGTATATTAGACCCCACTAGGCCCCTAGGAACCCCTATGTACCACATTCGAAGCCAGCTGCTCATGTCCTGATACGGCACCCACGGCACCCAACCCAAAGCTAAACCCTTCATCCGGAACCCACGATATGCAGAACCAAAGCTCCTGCTCAAACTTTGATGGTAGACCCCCTAGAACCAAGCTTGATGGGAAGTGCCAAGAAGCAGTCGTTGATCCACCTGCAGAAAGTCGGTACCTGGGCCGGGCCCAGGGGAATAAAGACTAAAACCCAAAGCTTACAGGCTAAGCCCACTATAGAAACTTCGTAAGCGTGCCCCATTGCGAGCCCAGTGGATACTGCCCCGGTAATGATCATCGGTATCTTAAATTCGTCACTTGTTCGAATCCCACGAACACACACAGCCGAAGGCTCTAGAGCTACAAGACGAAAATCTGCGATCAGGCCGATCTGTCGAGTCTCGGTGGGTTGCATTGGAGTCAGCAATGTATAGCCAGGTCGTCCATTCTAGATATCCAGCAGCCTCAGATCGAAAGGGCATTGTTTGGTCGTAAAAAACCCAACTTCTCATGACCGGGGGCTCTGACGAGGTCATGCTTTTTGTTCTGAAGAAACTTTTGGGGTATCTGGGGCGAACTGCTGACTATGCACTGGGTTCCATTTGCATATCAACGTAACCTATACAGGTACGGTTGGGTATACCTAGTTAACATTTGACGACAATATATAGCACAGGTATATTAGATCCTATAGGAACCCCAGGCCCTATGTACCACATTAGAAGCCAGCAGCAATTAATTCATGTCCTGATACGGCACCCACGGCACCCAACCCAAACCTAAACCCTTAATCCGGAAGCCACGATTTGCAGAACCAAAGCTCCTGCTCAAACCTTCGATGGTAGACCCCCGAGAAGCAAGCTTGATGGGAAGTGCCAAGAAGCAGTCCTTGATCCACCTGTCCAGACAGTCGGTACCTGGGCCGTGGGAACAAAACCGTAAACCCCAACGCTTAAAGCCTAAACCCTAAACTGATAAATAATACAACTACTTCGCGTAAGCGTGCCCCGTTGCGAGTCCGGCGGAAACTGCCATGCTCCGGTACTGACATGATCGTCGGTATCATGAATTCGCCAGTTGTCCCATTAAGTTCGAAACCACCAGCACCAACATGTACAGCGGAAGGCTCTAGAGTTGTGCAAGTGAGAATCAGCTAAGCATGATATGTGTGCACGGATCCTACGAAAATCCTTGAGACAATGTACCGGAACTGAGCCCAACACGACCCCTCATGAATCACGGAATCCTACCCTGCCCTAGGTGTGGGCGGCTCCGGCATTTGTGGCATCGCACATGCATCTGAGCTCGATTTCCCGGCTTGCAGACACTATGGAGGGATGGGACGTTGCGTCAAGTGAGTCTCTAACTCTAGCTGCAGACCTCCAGGTCCGTGTTCGGATTTAGGGTATCGGGTCTTCGGGTTCGGTTTTCTCTTGTGGAGGGACAGGGGGTTCACAATTTTTGGGCTTGGGGCTTTGGGGTTTAGATGTAAAGGCCTTGACCCAAGACCGAAACTGCCACTAGCATATGTAGACAACACACACAGTCTCATACACCCTAGCAAGGCCTTGTATGCATACATTTACATACATACACTAGTACAGACACATGCACAGAAAGATGCATACGTGCATGCATGCATGTCGATAACACACACTACCTGCATGTGCTTGATACAAAGCTGCTTCCACACATAAAGGCTGCATGCTAACTACCATATATTGTTATACGTATGGAACACATATACATGCTCAAGGTAATCTGAGAACCGTGTGCCACAGTTGCCTACACAGCTGGGCATTGGGACTGATGCTACAAGGTTTGCCCACCCCATATGTACAATCCGATGTGCGGAGGTCGCACACACTTCGAATGGCTGGCACTTTTAGAAAAGCGAGCCTTCAATTACAAATCATCCGAGGATGCACCACAAATCACGACAAGGCCCAGCTACACGAATCTAGAGGTGCCCAAATTTGTTACGGCCCTAGATCGAGCATATATGCACAAGACAGAAGACCCTAACCTCTAAAGCCGGACCGACGACCCCAAGCTGCTAATCGGATGACCCTCAAGCCCTAACCTTGTAGTCGCACCTCGGATCCAGTATCCTAGGAGAAATCCTACGGCGACTCCTCGGGGGCCGCGGGCTCTGGCTTCTCCTCCCATCCGGCGATGATCTTCGCAAGAAACCACCTGGGAGGCAAAGATCTAGGGTCCAGCCTAAATATTTAGGGTGCAAGGCTTAGGGTTGTGTTTTTTACTTATAACTAAGAGCTTAAAATTTAAGCTGTGTTCCTAGGGTTTCGGAATTCGAATGGGCGGCTCACAATATTAATTTTAAATATTTGTTCAAGATCAGCCACATCTCCGGCACCGGGCCCTTGCTCCAAGCGAGACAGGTTCCACCCTTCCC